GTGGAGGATGAGGGGTGGAGGGACGAGGGGGTGGAGGACGAGGGGTGGAGGATGGGGGTGGAGGACGAGGGGTGGAGAGCAGGGTGGAGGACGGGGTGAAGGAAGGAAGAGGAGGAGGGTTGGAGAGAGAGAGAGGGCCAGTAAAGGTATAAAGGAAGAGAAAGAAGACGACAAAGGAAGAATGAAAGGATGAAAGAAGAAGGAAAAGATGGAAGCATGTGGATAAAGGAAGTGCTGAAACGTTAATGACATCAAGAAGAAGAGGAGAAAGAGGAGGAGGGATAAGAAGAGGAGGAGGAGGAATAAGAAGAGGAAGAAGAAGATGAAGAGGAGGAAGTGAAGAAGCAGGAAGCAGAAGAAGGATAATGGATAAAGGATAACATGGATGAAAAATGGATAAGAAAATCAAGTAAAATAAAGAAGAAGAGAAGAGAAAAATAATGTAGGATAAACAAGAGAAAACAAAACAAATGAAAACAGAATAAGAAGCGAAAATAGGAAATAAAAGACGGAAAATAAACGGAGCGATAAATAAGAATGAGGAAATTAATAGAAATTGTAGAGACAAATCAGGAAAAAGAAACAAAATAAAGGAAAAATATCGAAAAAAAAGGGAAATTGACAAAACCAAACAAAACAGGAAACAAGAAAATAAGAGAATGGAGGAAGGAAGGAAGGAAAGAAGGAAGGAAGAAAGGAAAGAAGGAAAGAAGAAAGGAAAGAAGGAAAGAAGAAAGGAAAGAAGGAAAGAAGAAAGGAAGAAAGGAAAGAAGAAGAGAGTTGATTAAAGGAAGAAAAGGATGATTTAGAAGATGGACGAAAGGAAATGGGATAATTAGTGGAAGAAAAAGGAAGAACGATAGATATTAGTGAAGCAAATTAACCAATGGCCAATGTGTGTGTGTGTGTGTGTGTGTGTGTGTGTGTGTGTGTGTGTGTGTGTGTGTGTGAGCTAAAATATCATCATATTCTATACCGAAATAATATGACTATATAAAAAAAGAACTACGAGAACGGTAAAAAAAAAAAAAAAAAAAAAAAAAAATGAAAGTTGATCACAAGCATACTTACCTAGCCTCACAAAACATCGACACATACACACACCTTATCTCCATATTCTTAGAACATCCCTTACACAAACTAGTAAATTTACCCCTTAAACCCTGATGTACTAAACGTCAATATTTCTTCTCACGTTTATTCTATATATAATAATAAACTGTTAAACTGTCCACTCCTAAACCCCCCCCCCAAACACAGTTCCTTTGATATTATTAGTGTTATGTTTCCTAAGTGTTCATGTTATGTGTGTTCATGTTATGTGTGTTTATGTTATGTGTGTTCATGTTATGTGTGTTCATGTTATGTGTGTTCATGTTATGTGTGTTTATGTTATGTGTGTTCATGTTATGTGTGTTCATGTTATGCGTGTTCATGTTATGTGTGTTCATGTTATGTGTGTTCATGTTATGTGTGTTCATGTTATGTGTGTTTTTGTTATGTGTGTTCATGTTATGTGTGTTCATGTTATGTGTGTTCATGTTATGTGTGTTCATGTTATGTGTGTTTATATTATGTGTGTTCATGTTACGTGTGTGTGTGTATGCAGTTGTATATGTGTAGAGGTGAGAGGAATATGTCTCACAATAAGAGACATAAATCTCTCATCTCTCACGTCTCTCAGTGCCCAACAAAGAGATATTCTCTATAAAGAATATAATTTCTGGCTCAATAGACATGACTACTGATTTGCTAAGATTATTCTCATGATACATAATTTTTTTTGTTATCGTGTAATTAAAGAGAACATCGTATATGGCTGAATTAACACACTCTATGTATGTTTGTGTGTTATGCATGTCTTAAGCTTCTGCAGTGTATTATTCTCGCTTTCCATTGTTTCTTCTCATTCGCTTTATATGTCTTGTGATTTGTTATTATTATTATTATTATTATTATTATTATTATTATTATTATTATTATTATTATTTTTTTTTTTTTTTTTTTTAAGTTCTTTGATTTTTATTTAAGTTTTCAGTAATATTTACGTGATATTTTTTGTATGTATCTAACTTATTATTATTTTTGTTCATCTCTTTTAGGTTGTGTTATGCATTTAAACATTCCAGTGTTTTATTAATACGCTTTTTGCTTGACCGAGAATTATTGGTATCTCTGGGCTTATTCCCCCTCTGTTTTATTCTAATTTCATCTTATTCCTTCATTTATTCGTCCTCTATACTCATTTATTATCAGCTTATGCTTGTGTCTCATTTACTCTTTTCTTCTTTCATTCTTTCGTTTTTATTCTTATTATTTTATTTTATTGTTTTCTCATATAAAACTCCTTTATTATTTATTCATTTCTCTGGTTTATTCTTTCTTATTTCTCCCCCTTTCTCCTTCATTCTATACTTTATCTCTTTTCATTCATCTATGCAACATTTCATTCTTTTCTACGTTATTTCAGTCCATCTTTCTCCCATTCTTCTATCATTTGTTATAATTTGTCTATGTTTATCTGTTTATTTTATTTCCCATTGTTTCCTTCTTTTTATCACTTTATTTCTTCTATTTCCTTGAACGGTTTATCACTTCACTCACTCTGTCTTCTGTTCTTTCATTTCATTTCTTTCTTTCTCCTCTACTCCCCTCACTGTCTTTCTTTTCATTCATTCCGTCTTTCATTTCCTCCGTTATTTATTTTTATATATTTTTTGTAACTTCATTTCACATCTTTATCCATAGTTATTACTCCTGTCTCTCTCTCTTTCTCTCAATCATTTCATTCATTCTCTTCCTCATTTCTTTAATTATAACGTCATTTAATATATATTTTTTTTCTCATCATTCTATCAATTCCTTCCACTTCTTTTCCATTCCATTCTTATTAATCTCTCTCTCTCTCTCTCTCTCTCTCTCTCTCTCTCTCTCTCTCTTTCTTCTCATTCCGCTCATTCCTCTTGCTATTAATTTGCATTTTTTTTCTCTACAGATTTCGTAATGGTTTCAAGAAAGTCTTCTCTTTGTGCATCCGTGGGTTACGATACGACTAAACACTAAGATCCTCTCTCTCTGTATGTATTGTACTGTAGGTGTCCTTGTCTCTATTATGTGTGTATAGTCTCTCTCTCTCTCTCTCTCTCTCTCTCTCTCTCTCTCTCTCTTAATCATTCACTGATGGGAGATTCTTTCTGTTTCTTACTTTCTCTATTCAGTCTTTTTTTTCCTCTTTTTCTCATACATTCATTCATGGGTGGCTAGTCCTGTGAGAGCCTAGTCCTAATAGGCTCTTGGTTTTATTGGTCCTAACCTAAACTAACCTCACCTAACCTCACTAAACCTAACCTAACCTAACTAAACCTACCCTAACCTACCCTAACCTAACCTAACCTAACCTAACCTAACCTAACCTAACCTGATCTAAGAGCCGTAATTAGAACTGACTTAACCAGCTCTTCTTAATTTACCATTTTTATCACCTGTTCTTCTTCTTCTTCTTCTTCTTCTTCTTCTTGTAATTATTCATTTTATCTCATTCCCTCACCATCGTAACGTATGTGTCTATGTCAAGCCCTGTGCTGTATCTAAACACCCCCCACCACCCACCCTGTAGTGACGAGATTCTGCCTTTAACATAATAATTTATTCTCAAACAGAGCCTTCATGTTTGACTTACCGAATTACATGTATCTCAAGCCTAACCACCTATTATATAGCCTCGTAGCCTCTCTCCAAGATCCTTATTAACCTGTCAACCATTTGCTGCCTTTGTGTTGTAACCTCTCCAATAAAGCAAGACTCTCTCCTCCCTCTTGCCTATGGTATATACCCTTCTCCATATTTCGCCAAGCTTCTCCGCCATTGCAAAACCTTTCAGTGATCGTACACCACACCATTATTGTATATTACCGATGATATGTTACCCCATCCCCCGTTTTCTATAACCAGTCCTCCCGTCTACCCATTTCACGTTTTCTGATTTTCTACTTAGCCATTGTATTTTGTACAGTATATGTCTCCTAGCAGATCTTTTCATCCCTTACCATACCCTAGCTAGCAGACCTCTTCATAAATTACCATACCCTAACTAGCAGATCTCTTCAGCCATTACCATAACCTAACTAGCAGAACTCTTCATCCATTACCATAACCTAACTAGTAGAACTCTTCATCCATTACCATACCCTAGCTAGCAGACCTCTTCATCCATTACCATAACCTAACTAGCAGGGCCTACCCTTGCATTACCATACCCTAACTAGCAGATCTCTTCAGCCATTACCATAACCTAACTAGCAGAACTCTTCATCCATTACCATAACCTAACTAGTAGAACTCTTCATCCATTACCATACCCTAGCTAGCAGACCTCTTCATCCATTACCATAACCTAACTAGTAGACCTCTTCATAAATTACCATGCCCTCGCTAGCAGACCTTGTTCCTCCTGCCCTATCCAACCCAGCAGACCTCACCTCCTCTGCTACACCCTTGCCAGCAGACCTCACCTCCTCTGCTACACCCAACCCAGCAGACCTCACTTCCTCTGCTACACCCTTGCCAGCAGACCTCACCTCCTCTGCTACACCCAACCCCTTAGACCTCACCTCTCTGCTACACCCAACCCCAGCAGGCCTCACCTCCTCTGCTACACAGTTGCCAGCAGACCTCACCTCCTCTGCTACACCCAACCCAGCAGACCTCACTTCCTCTGCTACACCCTTGCCAGCAGACCTCACCTCCTCTGCTACACCCAACCCAGCAGACCTCACCTCCTCTGCTACACCCTTGCCAGCAGACCTCACCTCCTCTGCTACACCCAACCCAGCAGACCTCACCTCCTCTGCTTCACCCAATCCCAGCAGACCTCACCTCCTCTGCTACACCCCTTGCCAGCAGACCTCATCTCCTCTGCTACACCCTTGCCAGCAGACCTGTCCTCCCATTTACTCTACGTGTGTGACCTACCTGGGTGTCTCTCTGCTTCCCCCACACAGGTTCCGCCAGGGCTTCAAGAAGGTGTTCTCCGGCTGGTTACCCTGCGTGCATTACTACGAGCGAGAGCCAGTCGAGGTAACCAGGGTCCACACCACAAGGTTCTCCTGCTCGGGGTCTCCAGAAACTCTCCATCGGATAGCCTACGACGGTCAGAACGTGTCTCTTATGTGTATCTCTCTTAGTATGAAAGTGTCTCTCATGTGTCTCTTTTGGTATGAAGTGTCTCTCATGTATCTCTTTGGTATTGTCTGCATGAGAGTACAAATTTCTCCTATTTCCCTCTATTTGTTTCTCTCTTTATCTGTCTCTTGTTTCTCTCCTTATCTCTGTCTCTTGTTTCTCTCCTTGTCTCTGTCCTCTTGTTTCTCTCCTTATCTCTGTCTACCTTTCTCTGTCTCTGTCTTTTTGTTTTCTCTCTCTTATCTGTCTCTTGTTTCTCTCCTTATCTCTGTCTCTTGTTTCTCTCCTTATCTCTGTCTCTTGTTTCTCTCCTTATCTCTGTCTCTTGTTTCTCTCCTTATCTCTGTCTCTTGTTTCTCTCTTTATCTCTGTCTCTTGTTTCTCTCCTTATCTCTGTCTCTTGTTTCTCTCCTTATCTCTGTCTCTTGTTTCTCTCCTTATGTCTGTCTCTTGTTTCTCTCCTTATCTCTGTCTCTTGTTTCTCTCCTTATCTCTGTCTCTTGTTTCTCTCCTTATCTCTGTCTCTTGTTTCTCTCCTTATCTCTGTCTCTTGTTTCTCTTCTTATCTCTGTCTCTGGTTTCTCTCTTTATCGCTATCTCTGGTTTCTCTCTTTATCTCTGTCTCTTGTTTCTCTCCTTATCTCTGTCTCTTGTTTCTCTCCTTATCTCTGTCTCTTGTTTCTCTCCTTATCTCTGTCTCTTGTTTCTCTCCTTATCTCTGTCTCTTGTTTTTTCCTTATCTCTGTGTCTTGTTTCTCTTTTTTATCTCTGTCTCTTGTTTCTCTTTTATCTCTGTCTCTTGTTTCTCTCCTTATCTATGTCTCTTGTTTCTCTCCTTATCTCTGTCTCTTGTTTCTTTCTTTATCTCTGTCTTGTTTCTCTCCTTATCTATGTCTCTTGTTTCTCTCCTTATCTCTGTCTCTTGTTTTTTTCCTTATCTCTGTGTCTTGTTTCTCTCATTATCTCTTGTCTCTTGTTTCTCTCTTTTCTCTGTCTCTTGTTTCTCTCTTTTATATCTGTCTCTTGTTTCTCTCCTTATCTCTCTGTCTCTTGTTTCTCTCTTTTATCTCTGTCTCTTGTTTCTCTCCTTATCTCTGTCTCTTGTTTCTCTCCTTATCTCTGTCTCTTGTTTCTCTCCTTATCTCTGTCTCTTGTTTTCTCTCCTTATCTCTGTCTTGTTTTTCTCTCCTTATCTCTGTCTCTTGTTTCTCTCCTTATCTGTCTCTTGTTTCTCTCCTTATCTCTGTCTCTTGTTTCTCTCCTTATCTCTGTCTCTTGTTTCTCTCCTTATCTCTGTCTCTTGTTTCTCTCCTTATCTCTGTCTCTTGTTTCTCTCCTTATCTCTGTCTCTTGTTTCTCTCCTTATGTCTGTCTCTTGTTTCTCTCCTTATCTCTGTCTCTTGTTTCTCTCCTTATCTCTGTCTCTTGTTTCTCTCCTTATCTCTGTCTCTTGTTTCTCTCCTTATCTCAGTCTTTTTGTTTCTCTCTTATCTGTCTCTTGTTTCTCTCCTTATCTCTGTCTCTTGTTTCTCTCTTTATCTCTGTCTCTTGTTTCTCTTTATCTCTGTCTCTTGTTTCTCTCCTTATCTCTGTCTCTTGTTTCTCTCCTTATCTCTGTCTCTTTTCTCTCCTTATCTCTGTCTCTTGTTTCTCTCCTTATCTCTGTCTTTTTGTTCTTTCCTTATCTGTCTCTTGTTTCTCTCCTTATCTCTGTCTCTTGTTTTCCTTATCGCTGTGTCTTGTTTCTCTTTTTATCTCTCTTTCTCTTGTATCTCTCCTTATCTCTGTCTTTTTGTTCTTTCCTTATCTCTGTCTCTTGTTTCTCTCCTTATCTCTGTCTCTTGTTTCTCTCCTTATGTCTGTCTCTTGTTTCTCTCCTTATCTCTGTCTCTTGTTTCTCTTTTTATCTCTTTCTCTTGTTTCTCTCCTTCTTATCATCTCTGTCTCTTGTTTCTCTCTTTATCTCTGTCTCTTGTTTCTCTCTTTATCTCTGTCTCTTGTTTCTCTCCTTATCTCTGTCTCTTGTTTCTCTCTCCTTATCTCTGTCTCTTTCTCTCCTTATCTCTGTCTCTTGTTTCTCTCCTTATCTCTGTCTTTTGTTTCTTTCCTTATCTGTCTCTTGTTTCTCTCCTTATCTCTGTCTCTTGTTTTTCCTTATCGCTGTGTCTTGTTTCTCTTTTTATCTCTTTCTCTTGTATCTCTCCTTATCTCTGTCTCTTGTTTTCTTATCTCTGTCTCTTGTTTTTTTTTCCTTATCTCTGTGTCTTGTTTCTCTTTTTATCTCTGTCTCTTGTTTCTCTTTTATCTCTGTCTCTTGTTTCTCTCCTTATCTATGTCTCTTGTTTCTCTCCTTATCTCTGTCTCTTGTTTCTCTCCCTTATCTCTGTCTCTTGTTTTTTTCCTTATCGCTGTGTCTTGTTTCTCTTTTTATCTCTTTCTCTTGTATCTCTCCTTATCTCTGTCTCTTGTTTTTTTTTCCTTATCTCTGTCTCTTGTTTTTCCTTATCTCTGTGTCTTGTTTCTCTTTTTATCTCTGTCTCTTGTTTCTCTTTTTATCTCTGTCTCTTGTTTCTCTCCTTATCTATGTCTCTTGTTTCTCTCCTTATCTATGTCTCTTGTTTCTCTCCTTATCTCTGTCTCTTTGTTTTTTCCTTATCTCTGTCTTGTTTCTCTCATTATCTCTGTCTCTTGTTTCTCTCCTTATCTCTGTCTCTTGTTTCTCTCTTTATATCTGTCTCTTGTTTCTCTCCTTATCTCTGTCTCTTGTTTCTCTCCTTATCTCTGTCTCTTGTTTCTCTCCTTATCTCTGTCTCTTGTTTTCTCTCCTTATCTCTGTCTCTTGTTTTCCTCTCCTTATCTCTGTCTCTTGTTTCTCTCCTTATCTCTGTCTCTTGTTTCTCTCCTTATCTCTGTCTCTTGTTTCTCTCCTTATCTCTGTCTCTTGTTTCTCTCTCCTTATCTCTGTCTCTTGTTTCTCTCCTTATCTCTGTCTCTTGTTTCTCTCTCCTTATCTCTGTCTCTTGTTTCTCTCCTTATCTCTGTCTCTTGTTTCTCTCCTTATCTCTGTCTCTTGTTTCTCTCCTTATCTCTGTCTCTTTGTTTCTCTCTCTTTATCTCTTGAAGGGTCGAAATCTCTCTGTTATTGTTCTTATAGTGTTTCTTTTATTACAATCTACATCATGTGATCAAAACTTCTGAATGTCTCTCTTCATTATGGTAACCTAACGTGCTGTTGTTAAGTAAACAGTAATGTTATGTAGATATGTTTAATTAAATAACATCATTAATTAATTTTTAGGACAATAAAACAAAACGAATATAATTACTGATACATTCATCAATAATAAGTTTTATATCAAATATGTCTTTTATCTAAATTTATGTTCAGAATATTTAATTTATTAAATATTAATCTAGTGTTTAATTAATAATTATTTTCCGCATTTTTATCACCTGTACAAGTATTAATTATATGTATTAACCGTTTAATAAAATTTTCTACCTTAATTAATTTCCTTAAAGGGAATTAATTAATAACACTAAATTATTTAAAACTACATATAATAAATATAGTAAGTTATCGATACGAACCATACCTCTAACCTGGTATGTGTGTGTGTGTGTGTGTGTGTGTGTGTGTGTGTGTGTGTGTGTGTGTGTGTGTGTGTGTGTGTGTGTGTGTGTGTGTGTGTGTGTGTGTGTGTGTGTGTGTGTGTGTGTGTGTGTGTGTGTGTGTGTGTGTGTCTGTGTGTGTGTGTGTGTGTGTGTGTGTGTGTGTGTGTGTGTGTGTGTGTGTGTGTCTGTGTGTGTGTGTGTGTGTGTGTGTGTGTGTGTGTGTGTGTGTGTGTGTGTGTGTGTGTGTGTGTGTGTGTGTGTGTGTGTGTGTGTGTGTGTGTGTGTGTGTGTGTGTGTGTCTGTGTGTGTGTGTGTGTGTGTGTGTGTGTGTGTGTGTGTGTGTGTGTGTGTGTGTGTGTGTGTGTGTGTGTGTGTGTGTGTGTGTGTGTGTGTGTGTGTGTGTGTGTGTGTGTGTGTGTGTGTGTGTGTGTGTGTGTGTGTGTGTGTGTGTGTGTCTGTGTGTGTGTGTGTGTGTGTGTGTGTGTGTGTGTGTGTGTGTGTGTGTGTGTGTGTGTGTGTGTGTGTCTGTGTGTGTGTGTGTGTGTGTGTGTGTGTGTGTCTGTGTGTGTGTGTGTGTGTCTGTGTGTGTGTGTGTGTGTGTGTGTGTGTCTGTGTGTGTGTGTGTGTGTGTGTGTGTGTGTGTGTGTGTGTGTGTGTGTGTGTGTGTGTGTGTGTGTGTGTGTGTGTGTGTGTGTGTGTGTGTGTGTGTGTGTGTGTGTGTGTGTGTGTGTGTGTGTGTGTGTCTGTGTGTGTGTGTGTGTGTGTGTGTGTGTGTGTGTGTGTGTGTGTGTGTGTGTGTGTGTGTGTGTGTGTGTGTGTGTGTGTGTGTGTGTGTGTGTGTGTGTGTGTGTGTGTGTGTGTGTGTGTGTGTGTGTGTGTGTGTGTGTGTGTTTGCTAATTAAACAAATAAACAGACACATAAATTTAATAATAACATAAATATACAAACAAATATAGCTTATATCACCTGATGATTAAAACAAAAAACTAACGTTAGGTTACGTTAGATTAGGTTAGGTTAGGTTAGGTTACGTTAGATTAGGTTAGGTTAGGTTAGGTTACGTTAGATTAGGTTAGGTTTAGGTTAGGTTAGGTTAGGTTAGGTTAGGTTAGGTTAGGTTAGGTTACGTTAGATTAGGTTAGGTTAGGTTAGGTTTAAGGTGGTTAATCTTAAGATGTAAATCAGCTGAGGTGCCTAATCTTCATGTGATGATATTTATAAAAACATAGATAACCATTACACTAGATGATGACACTGTAATGCCTCAGTGGGTGGTGTTGTTGGTATGCCAAGAAGAGCGTCACAAAGATGGAGAAAGTTTGCCTGGAGATAGCATGAAAATAGTTGGTAGGAAGGCGAGGAGGTTCTACAAGCTGACGAGAACGAGAAGGAGGAGGAGGAGGAGGAGGGAGGTTAAAGAGGATGAGGAAGAGGAAGAGTATGTGGAGGAGGAGGAGGAAGATAGAATTGACTGTGAAGGAGGCCGAGATATAATCATAAGCTGTGGTCTTGGTAGGAGTGGGGAAGGCTTTGTGAGAGAGAGAGAGAGAGAGAGAGAGAGAGAGAGAGAGAGAGAGAGAGAGAGAGAGAGAGAGAGAAGGAAGACCAGCACTTAAAACCGAGACTTGTTCACACTCACATATAATAAAATGAGTTCATTAAGTCCCAGAATATCTTAACAAAACTTAACATTACTTAACACCAGATAACTTAACATAATTTAACACGACAGAGGACAACCTTACATAGGATTATATAACACAATAAATAATAATACTACTAAAATAACCAGTATTCACCTATACAAGGTCAGGGTTAACAATATCTCACTAAAGATATACTTTGTGAGTTTAAGTAGAATGGTGAGTTTAGTGTGAGTTTAGTGTGAGTTTAGTGTGAGTTTAGTGTGAGTTAAGTGTGAGTTTAGTGTGAGTTTAGTGTGAGTTAAGTGTGAGTTTAGTGTGAGTTTAGTGTGAGTTTAGTGTGAGTTTAGTGTGAGTTTAGTGTGAGTTTAGTGTGAGTTTAGTGTGAGTTAAGTGTGAGTTTAGTGTGAGTTTAGTGTGAGTTTAGTGTGAGTTAAGTGTGAGTTTAGTGTGAGTTTAGTGTGAGTTTAGTGTGAGTTTAGTGTGAGTTAAGTGTGAGTTTAGTGTGAGTTTAGTGAGTTTAGTGTGAGTTTAGTGTGAGTTTAGTGTGAGTTTAGTGTGAGTTAAGTGTGAGTTTAGTGCACTTGGTGAGCTTAGTGTGAGTTTAGTGTATCAGTGTGAGTTTAGTGTGAGCTTAGTGATTAGTGTGAGCTAGTGGAGCATGGAGTTTAGTGAGTTTAGTGTGAGTTCAGTGAGTTTAGTGTGAGCTTGAAAAGTGGAGTTTAGTGTGAGTTTAGTGTGAGTTTAGTGTGAGTTTAGTGTGAGTTTAGTGTGAGTTTAGTGTGAATTTAGTGTGAGTTTAGTGTGAGTTAAGTGTGAGTTTAGTGGGAGTTTAGTGTGAGTTTAGTGTGAGTTAAGTGTGAGTTTAGTGTGAATTTAGTGTGAGTTTAGTGTGAGTTTAGTGTGAGTTTAGTGTGAGTGATGGTCCTCCTTCTCTCATGACTTTTCTGATAAGGTGGAAACAGATAACAGCCCAGAGAGTCAAGAATAGATTAGAAGTTAGAATTTATGGTATAGAAGAAGGGAATATAGATGGGGTGGATTGAGGGGTTTTGTAGGGTTACGTAAGGAGCAAGAGATGACACACGATGATAAATTAGGACTAGTAAGCAAAATAAAATAGAAATATAAGTGTATTATATAAATCAAAACTAAAAGAATAAATAAGAAAATAATCTAAAAGGCGACTTGTAAATAAAAAAAAAGTTGGGGATATAAAGAAAAGTAAAAAATTCAGAAAATATTAAGTATTGTTTCATAAAAGAGTTTAACAATGGTAGTGTCCGTTCACACACCCCCCAAGGAGCCTTTAACTCCCTCAGACATAATCTAAACATGACCTTATAAAGATGACTTGTACTCAGGGCCCACTAACGCACTTTTAAATAACTCTTAAGTGTTTCTACATAAGCACGAGACGCACAACAAAACAGCAGTAGTCCTAAATTACAACCTTGAGGTACCCCTAAAATGAGCTTTGTAATTATATACTTCATTGTCTTCGTTAGTTAATTCTTTTTGCATCTCTCATGTCCTACTAAAGTTAACATCCCTCTTCTAATCCTCCATAACATCCTCCAACTGTTAAAGGCAGTTCAGAATTCCTCATGCAGGACTTTCTCCAACATTCGTTATCTCCCTCACATTCCCCTCACTCCGTCACTCACTCCAACGGCCATCAACCCCTTGCATCATTCTTGTATATTATTCCATCAGCTACGGACAGCACTTTCTCGTTCCAGCACTCACTCAACAAGCTTTGGCCCTCAAGTACCCTCTAGTAACCAATTAACAGGCACGAACTTCAAGTAACACCTCCCAATGTCCTAATTCTCTTCTGATTGAATTGCACTTCCTCTAAGTTTGTTATTTTTCCCTTTCACGTTCACAAACACTCACTCAGAACCTTGCAACAGCTGCCCAGTTCCTTCAGGTGAGCAACATGGAGAATACTGACGAGTTTGTATGTGTGTTTCTGCGCAGGTTCGCCATCCTCCCGCACAACCTCCCGTATCCCGTGAGTCACTGTATCTGCCCCTCAACCACCACCACTACCACTACCACTACTACCACCATCATCTGCATTATCCGTGAGTTCTGCCTCACCACCACCACCACCACCACCACATCTGTATAGTACTACTACTAATACTAACACCACCACCACCACTACTACCACTACTACTACCACTATCAACCCTGAGATACCTCCCTCCCTCCCTCCTCACTACCAACATCCTGCAATTTTCTTTATTTTTTCCCCAGTGGTAAGTAAAGACCTCTCTCTCTCTCTCTCTCTCTCTCTCTCTCTCTCTCTCTCTCTCTCTCTCTCTCATCGTACCGTTTTCATACTAACCAATTCTCAGAGTGATAAGTAAATGGGATCCACCAGGGCAGTGTAGATACAACACACTGAATACTTTACTGTAGCCTCAGCACGCTGGGAAAAAATGTCCAGGTCGACACTGCACTCGACTGTATTCATTTCCCCATCTGCAAAGTAAGTTACCCAATTATCAAAAAGAAAAAGAAAAGCAAATCACGAACACATATGGATGGACGGAGAGAGAGAGAGAGAGAGAGAGAGAGAGAGAGAGAGAGAGAGAGAGAGAGAGTAATGAAGTGTTCTGGTGACCTGTCTTTACCTGCGCGTGACCTCCTTCCTTGTAGGTGGGTTAGTGGTGGTGGTGCTAGTAGTGATGGTGATGGTTGTGTGGTGGTGGTTGTGGTGGTGGTGGTCATAGTGGTGGTAGTAGTGGTGGTGGAGGTGGTGGTTGTAGTGGTGGTGGTTGGTGATAGTCGTGGTTTTGTTGTTGTTGTTGCTGTTGTTGTTGTTGTTGGTGGTGGTGGTGGTGGTGATAGTTGTGTGGTGGTGATGGTTGTAGTGGTGGTTGTGGTGATAGTGGTGGTGGTGGTTGGTGATAGTCGTGGATTTGTGCTTGTTAGTGTTGTTGTGCTTGTTATTGTTGTTGTGCTTGTTATTGTTGTTGTTGGTGGTGGTAGTGGTGTGAGTGTAATAATGGAAACTGGTTATAGTAAAGTTGTAATGGTAGAATGGTTTACCCCGGAGTTGTTAATGGTAGTTGTTGTTGTATTGGATTGTGGTTGTCGTTGTGTTAGTAGGAGCGGCTACAATGGTACTGGTTGTGATGATGTAGTTAGTTGTACTATTATAGGTGATTGTAATAGAGGTGATGCTAGTTATAATGATGATAGTTATAATGATGCTAGTGATAATGATGATAATGATAATGACGATGAGAATAATAATAATAACAATAATAATAATAATAATAATAATAATAATAATAATAACAATAACAACAACTACAACAACAACAACAACAACAACAACAACAACAACAACAACAACAACAACAACAACAACAACAACAACAACAACATACACTAAACATTATGAAATATTAAGGTGAAGAAAACACAAAAAAACAGCCTCTCAAAACAACATCCAATCCCATTATGTTCAATAAGATTACTGAGACACTTAAGGAGAAATAAAAGATACTCGCTAAAAAAGAAAAACAGTGAAACGGAGTTGGTCGTCCCGATAACTTCTTAATGGAATCGAATAGCTTAATGGGAGAAGATTCTGTGCGTTCAACAGCTGCTAAATTCACACACGAGGGAAAGATATTTTATTGTTTGTTTGTTATTCTCTTGAGATAAATTTTGTCAATTATTCATTTTCTAACGCATAGATTTTGTGTGTGTGTGTGTGGGTGTGTGTGTGTGTGTGTGTGTGTGTGTGTGTGTGTGTGTACTCAGCTAACCTGGCGTGTTTGTGTAGATATTTCAGAGCAAACTCAGCGCATATATATATAGCAAGTAAATAAGGCTACTTACCAAATTAGGAGAGGTATCTTAAGCTCTTGAGTACGATGACTTATTCCCTTGAGTACGATGACTTATTCCCTTGAGTACGATGACTTATTGCCTTGAGTACGATGACTTATTGCCTTGAGTACTATGACTTATTCCCTTGAGTACGATGGCATTTTACTTGTGGTTTAAATCATCTTACATAATGGATTAAGTCATCATACTTAAAGGGTTAAATTATCTCACTCAAGGGATTAAATCATCTCACTCAACGGGTTAAATCATCTCACTCAACGGGTTAAATCCTCTCACTCAACGGGTTAAATCATCTCACTCAACGGGTTAAATCATCTCACTCAAGGGTTAAATCATCTCACTCAAGGGGTTAAATCATCTCACTCCAGGGGTTAAATCATCTCACTCAAGGGGTTAAATCATCTCACTCAGCGGGTTAAATCATCTCACTCAAGGGGTTAAATCATCTCACTCAAGGGGTTAAATCATCTCACTCCAGGGGTTAAATCATCTCACTCAACGGGTTAAATCATCTCACTCAACGGGTTAAATCATCTCACTCCAGGGGTTAAATCATCTCACTCAAGGGGTTAAATCATCTCACTCAAGGGGTTAAATCATCTCACTCAAGGGGTTAAATCATCTCACTCAAGGGGTTAAATCATCTCACTCAACGGGTTATCACTCTCATGGGGTCAACCAGGTCAGCATTCATTAACCTCTTGTTTCCTCTGTTTCTCCCTCAGGCTCATCACACATTTCGATGAGGACTTACGTGTCCGACGCGGGAGGCGGCAGCAACGGCGCCAGGACCCAGCCAGTGAGAGTGTGCAACGGTGCCAACATGAGGAGGGCCACGAACGGAGCCAATGCCAATACCAGGAACTATGGAGGCTTGCTGACCACCGCTAAGAACACCAAGTATCCCGCCGTGTCCTACCAGTACGTGTGAAGGGCTGACGACGAGGGATAGAGCCCAGTGTCCTTGAAACAACAACAGCTGGTGGTGTTGTTGGTAGCGGCGGCTATTTTACGGGGATGGAGAGTGTAGGCAAGAACTATAAGTTTGTAAGGTCTACGAGGCTACTGTGACTAACACTACTGATTGATATTGAAGTCTTAAAGAATCCGTTGTTAGAGTCATGCACGTGGGAAGGGGGGCTCAGTGGGGAGGTGAGGAACTTGGAAAATTTAATTTGTGGTATGTCAGTGGTCCTCACTTTGAGATTATATCACTGTTGGTTTGAGGGAGAGACACTGAGACACCAGCAGCCAGGACCTACACCTCCCATACCCCTAGGCTACACCCAAGACTCAATCTCAATTAAAAAAAAGAAAATCCTCGACATTATCAAAAACTCCAGGAACATGTACAGTGTACATGAAACGTACAGCAGCAAACATCGTGTCAATTTGTGTATCACGGACATTTAGGACCTTAAGCTCTCAGCCTCAACAAATAGTTAATCTGGTCGCCAGGATAAGAACCATAGACTTAGTTAGCGTCAAAATCTCTTCGGGTGGAGATGGAGGTGAGACAGTCGTACTGAGAAGTAGGCGTCCACAGGCTCCTGATCATATCATACAGACAAGACGGCGGAACGAGAAGTACTGTATTGTAGCGCACACCAATGATGTGGGGGGGATATATATATATATATATATAAATATATATATATATATATATATATATATATATATATATATATATATATATATATATATATATATATATATATATATATATATATATATATATATATGATATTCTTAGGTATAAACTTAAGGAATTTGTACATTATTGAGAGGCTCTCCCGCACCCCGTCCAATGTGGACCTGTATGGATGAATACTGAAGTGTGTGTTGTACTAAGGGGAGAACTTGTGGCTCACAGTGTTTTCGTCTCTAAGATAAGTGTAAATCACTGAGTCAGGTACTGTGAGTCACTGGGGTGTAAATATCCTGTAAATGTGAGACTTACTATTTACATGAATCATATCATGAGCTGTAAACGATGTATTAAATGATTATTATAATTGTGTTAAACGAAAAAATCATAATACTGTATCGTTGTGATGTGGTGCCAAGTAGAGTACATAAAGTGTCAACACTTATTTATATAATAATGACATTTCATTCTAACTTACAAGACGGGATGGAGGGAGGGAGGGAGGGAGGGAGGGAGGGAGGGAGGGAAGGGGCGTACTGTAAACAATAAGATAATGTCGACCCTACTGAAGGAGGGTGAATGCCAATATAGTATTTTTTTATACTCAGTTGCAGTATATACTCTGGTGCTGAACATATAGTGGCTTGTGAGCGTGATGACGATGATGTGTTTGTACGGACTCATCGTCACTGACGTGTCCTGAACTAAACGACGAGTGTCAGAACTACATTAATGTATAAAATACAGTATGTATATATTTTTATTGTATTGCCTTTTCTTATATCTCTTTTTCTGTCAATATTTCTCTCTTGTTATATTCTCTTTCACTTTTCTCTCTCTTTCTCTCTTCAGGTTCATATAGTTGTAAATCTTCAAGACATTTTCATCATTCTTCTGTACAAACCTGCAAGAACTTTTTCAACTTCCACACAATAGTGATATTAACGAGAAATTCTTCTGCTTCTCTTGTGTTCCGGCCACCAGACTATGAGGGTCTTGTGGTCGAGCAACACACACAATAACTTATTGACTGTATATTTAGATGTATAATATAACCTCACTCTAAGAAGAATTATATAATACCTTTAGCTTAGAAATTACACCTACATCGTGAAAAACTGTGTGAGAGAGAAAATAAGAGTGAATAGAGAGAGAGAGAGAGAGAGAGAGAGAGAGAGAGAGAGAGAGAGAGAGAGAGAGAGAGAGAGAGAGAGAGAGAAAGAAATCTCAAATAATTATTACAATAAATCTTCTAATGTGTATTAATCATTAACTATTATACGTGTTTTAAAGAATTCGCACACACACACACACACACACAGACAGACACACACACACACACACACACACACACACACACACACACACACACACACACACAGCCCTATTAGCTGTACCATATCCTTTTATTAACTTATGAATGTTGAACGTTGCTTACTGTACTGTACAACAACGGAACCTCTACCATACTATTACACTGTACACCCTTACCTCAATGGATAGCAGCAAAACACCCCTTGACTCTTACAGTATAACACTCTATTCCTATCATGTTTACCTATCATGTTTACCTATCATGTTTCCCTTTTACTATGAACCCAACTGAGAAACCCAAATTCTAACCTTTAATTTCTAACTTTAATAACAAACAAAACAATTAGATAATGTTTAAAAAATATCAAGATCATTTTGGTCAGAGAAGAACCATTATAATAGAGTGTTCTATTTTTCTATCTTGGCCGTAGATAGTGTTCAAATATTGGTGTAATTTGATCGATCTTAGTAATGCTTTGTGAGTGTTGAGGGAGTCTGATCGTCGCCATGTTTGTGTGTGTATGTATATAATGAGGGAAAACACTCACGAACGGTCTTAGTATGCGTGTTTAGGTATTTGTTTTGGGAGAATATTAGTGTGATCTTTCTATTCGACTTTTACGCCTTTCACTTCTCATAACTTTCATTTCTCATGGGTGTCGCTCTCGCTGTTACACCTCTCATTCTTACGTTTCTAATCTCGCATATGTTTTACTGTTACACACACACACACACACACACACACACACACACACACACACATACACACACATTTATTCTTTTCCACGCCCCTAAGTACCCAAGTTTGTCTACAAATTATCTGACTCTTTCTTCGACACAGTTCCATTCATAAATCTGAACTCGTCTCAAGGCTTCATTCATTCATTCACTAAAACGTAATAATATAAATTTGTTTTCCATGTACAATTCTTAATCTTTATTATCTTTCTGATTTAATTTTTCTTTATTATGTGTTTTTTTTTATTTCTTGTTTCGTTGTTTCTTTGCTTCGTTTATTTATTGAAAACATCGAATCGTGACAACTTATATTAATACTCATATTTTATCTGAATCTCTTGTTTTGTGGCTATTTTCTTAACTTTGCCATTTATCTTCTCCTTTTCTTGTCTATCTCTTCTTCTTATAGTTTCTTCATACATTCCATTGTATTTCTTTCTTTCTCTTATAATTTAAATTTATATTAATTGATAGACAATATTAAGGACCGGGAATTTAATGACACTATATGTTAATTAGATTTTATACAAATATATCTCTACATTTTATAACTCCTTGTTATTATAGTCAGTGTCGGTCATATATGAACTATAATTTACTTTTTTCTTTATATAATTCTCAGCAAGAAGTTTATCATCTGCCTTAACCTCCCCGTGGTAATAATAGTCGTAAGAGTTGCTTCTCACGCCAGCGACATACTCACCTCCAGTATAAGATATATCTGTGTTATACCTGTGTGTTATATCTTACCTCCTGCTCACACTCCTCACAACAATCAGTCTTCACCTCTTGTATTATATATCAATGTATATATTGTTTTAAGATATACTGCTCCTCTGTTGACCCCTCGTGATATGTAGCTGCCTGTATGCGTAAATATATATATATATATATATATATATATATATATATATATATATATATATATATATATATATATATATATATATATATATATATATATATATATATATATATATATATATATATATATATATATATATATATATATATATATATATATATATATATATATATATATATATATATATATATATATATATATATATATACATATATAATATAATATAATAGAATATTCTTTAATGTTATTAATGGTATGTCAAAATATAAGATGTAGTATATGCTCAGATAAAGATGTCAGTCACCTTGAGGTGCCTGCCCACTACGGCTCATCACCTGTAATAAACGCACTCATGAGCCTTACTGTGCGGGCAACACCTTCTCATATTTGTGTATTTTTTCTATACCATCACCTGAGCTGCCACAATGGAATCCAGGGACCCAGATGGGGGATATAAAGGGTCCCGAAATTATACATTATTTATATTATTCTGAGTGATATGGAACACGTTTTGAGGTAGGAAAGGCATTGTGAATCGTTTTACCTATCTCAGATGGTGCCCAGACACAACCAGAACACACACAGTATATAGTTAGATCACTTTGTTGTTCCTGTAGACAGTCGACCAACATCACACGTCCGATGCTCTTTTGTTTTCATTCTGTCCTCTGATCCCACTCTGGCAGCTGACTGGTGCCTTCAACTCACACCTGCTGAACCTCCCAATGTATCAAGGTTGTTGGGACTCTGTAGATACATTTAGACTTTATGTAACCGACGGCAGAAACAGAAGTTGCTGGCACGTATGGGAAGGGGGAGCATACCTGTCTAGGAGCTTCTGTCTACCGTATAATGATGGATTATTTTTGTGTAGAATACGTAAGGAATGTATCATCTCGGTGGTCAGTGTGTGTGTTTGTGTGTGTGTGTGTGTGCGTGTGTGTGTGTGTGCGTGTGTCACCGACATACTCGGATAGCATCGCCAAGCCTCACACTCGTGTTTGTAAACTGCATGTTGACCTCTGACCAACATGTTACCTTTCTGTGTGCTTAAAGTTCTTCGCTATTAAGAACTGCTGCTGAAGAAACATATAAGATTAAATTATATTGGCAGAACTTTTTCTCATTATATAACAGTCAAGAACTGCTGTTTTTCACACAAACGGCTTTTAAATTATGTAACATTATGTAGAATGTTGTATTGTGTATTACCATCACACTGTTTGACTGTTACTATACCTCACCCCTCATTAACACCATGACACACACACACACACACACACACACACATATATATATATATATATATATATATATATATATATATATATATATATATATATATATATATATATATATATATATATATATATATATATATATATATATAATTTTTCTATACATCAAAAGATACTAAACGACTAGCGACTACTTGGGGAGAGAGAGTAGATGTACACATCCTGTGTGTCACCAGGGAAGGTGTGGCCACGTTCTGGTGTCACTAGGAGGGTGTACACATCCTGTGTGTCACTCAGGAAGGTGTACACGTTCTGTGTCACCAGGGGAGGTGTGTACACAATCCTGTGTGTCACCAGGAGGGTGTACGTGTTCTGTGTCACTAGGGAGGGTGTACACATCCTGTGTCAACAGGGAGGGTGTACACATCCTGTAACAATTAGGAGGGTGTACACGTTCTGTGTCACCAGGGAGGGTGTACACATCCTGTGTGTTATTGAGGGAGGGTGTACACATCCTGTGTGTCACCAGGGAGGTGGTGTATGTCCTGTGTGTCACCAGGAGGGTGTGACACATCCTGTGTGTCAACAGGGAGGGATGTCTCTGTGTGTCACCAGGGAGGGTGTAACACATCCTGTGTGTCACCAGGGAGGGTGTACACATCCTTTGTGTCACCAGGGAGGGTGTACACATCCTGTGTGTCACCAGGGAGGGTGTACACATCCTTTGTGTCACCAGGGAGGGTGTACACATCCCGTGTGCCACCATGGAGGGTGTACACGTTCTGTGTCAACAGGGAGGGTGTACACATCCTTTGTGTCACCAGGGAGGGTGTACACATCCTGT